GTCAGTTGTTTTTTTAATCCCAGTCAAAGTAATAGCAAAAAAACAAGCTAAAACCATGGTTCATTAAAAGAAAAAAAATTAATAAAATAATTGGAAACATATATAGGTGAGAGGTAAAAACAAGCAGCTGCTACTATTTTCAGTTGCTGATGAATATGTCTGAAATTTTTGACCTTTCCTTTGGATATTTATTATTTATGTAGGTGTTACATTTATATTCTGTCTTTTGTTCAGGAGCTGAAGGCTGCAATTTGTTATATGGGCTGCAGTTTCAGTAGTATAGTTGCCTAACAGAGCTAGTGAATCTGCAGCAAAGCAAATATATGGATGGAAATTGAATAGATCAAGAAGAAGACTGAGAATGTCTAGCTGACGATTACACTCAACAAAACAGAAGTGAAGAATTTAAAGAGCAAAAGATAGTCTATGAAGCATTATTTATTTGTTTATTTATTAAATTTATATGGGTATGGATGTCATAGAATCAAGGAGAGTTTGCTAGGATAGAAAGATATGGAAAAATACAGTGAATGTTTTCTTATCTCTTGCCTATTCTTTTATTTTTCTCTTTCTTAGTAAACATTGCTTACTCTAAAAGAGAATAGTGTTATAGATATGTATGTGTGTACATTATATTTGAAAAATATGAATGTCAGTATTAAATCCTGAACAACTGCATTGTGAAGGATTCCAAGCATTTGTTCATTCTGATATATCACAATAATCTAGAATAAATAACAGATAATGTTTTGAGAAAAATCTATTTTCATTAAAATACTGCTGCCTTAACTGTTGATAAAACAGCTTCATTCTGGGAGAGCCATTAATATTTAAATAACACACACCACTTTCCTTGTTTAGAAAATGTGTATCAGAGAAATTACTGGCCTCTTGATTAAGCTGTTAAAAGCTTTTTTCTGGGGCTGTCTCTTGGGGCTATTATCATTTTAACCAGTGCTAGTGTCTCAGAGAAACCTCTAACCACCATCACCCCCACCCCCCACATCCCAGTCAATTTGCATTGCTTGGAAGAGCTGAATTTCTCTGTGTCAAGACTGACAAAAGCCAGAGAAGCTTTGAGATCTGCAGATCTGCATTTTTTTTCAACCTGCTGTCTTAATTTGACAGTGAAGGGATCTTTACTTAACTTAATTCCCACTATATGTCCTAAATTTTAAATGCCTGCAGTCTCCTCAGGAGAGACATTAATTCTAATAATGTGGTACTAGATAAAGGCTAATGCAATTCTCGATTGCATTAGAAAAATCACTGTATTGAAGATGCTTGAGACTGTACCTGTGTATAGTTCTGGGTACCACATTTCCAGAAGGCTATTGATAGATTAGAAAAGGTTCAGAAGAGGGTGACAGAGATGGCACAAACATTTGAGGATATGGCCTTTAAGGACAGATTGAAGGAATATGAGATATTCATTCTGGGGAAAAGACTGAGGGGACATGTGATATTGTGACATATCAGTGTTCAGGTACATAAAAAGGTACCATAGGGAAGATGGTCATGAGCTATTTCCCACTGCATGGAAAGTAGGTCCACAAATGATGTACATGTTGTTACCTAAATTTCATTTAAATATAAGGAAAAAATTCCTGATGGTAAGAGCTGCACAACAGTGGAACTGTCTACTTATGGGTTCTCCAACTCTGGAGGTTTTTAAGAATAGGCTGGACAGCCACCTCTCAAGGATGGTTTAATTGGTTTTCTTGCACATTGCAGAGAGTTGGATGATGGAGATGGAGTGGATGATCTTTGAGGTCTGATCTTGTAGAATGTCTGCTTTCAAATTTTGTGATTAGAGAGCGTTGAAATTGAAGTGCCCTCAGTGCAAATTGATTAGATTCCATCGTTGCCAATCACTTTATTCTGCTTCTCAGACAAAAAAAAAAAAGTCTCCCAAACAATTTGTAGCTACTCTGAATAAACTACACTATTTACAAGCATTTAGCATAAATGGAAAGTACTGTAAGAGCTGTATTAGGAAAACCTGGAGCAGGCAAATTAGTCTGATAATGCCAGAACAAAAGTGTGAGTTTGTAATAGGTGTTTCCATCCTCTTTGGAGCTATCTGCTTGATATCTAGTTGGATGGAGGAGGGGCAATTACTTTTGATCTGTTGTTCCAAAACAAAAAACATAGAGACCTTTATCTCATCTTTGAAATTATAGGTTAGTAATAAGCAATTCAGCATTTACCAATAGAAGAGAATATATGTACTTCAGGGTTGAACTTTGGAGTCCTTGGTGCTCTCTGAGCTTGGTTGTTTGATTGCAGATGTTTCATTACCCAACTAGGTAACATCATCAGTGCTTGTGAGTATGGGGTTTTCTCCCTGTTTATATACACTAACTTGCCTTGCCAGTGTTGGTGAGGGTGTAGTTTTCACCTTGGTAGTTTCTTGATTTTTTGCTTGATTGTTTGTCTCCTTGGTAGTTCCTTGATTAGACTATTGTTTTCTGCTTGACTGTTTGTCTAGTGTTAATTCCTGCTTATCTGGGTGTAGGCTTTTGGTGAGGATGTGTTCAAGTCTTTCTGATTCCTTTTTAGCTTTCTTGTTGTCTCTTTTGAATGGAGTGTAAATGTGATTTATCTCTTTGTGTCTATTAATGGCTGATATGTCTGAGAGCCGAGCTTCTAGGAATTCCCTAACATTTTTGGATTTAGCTTGGTCTAGGATGCTCACAGTTTCCCAGCTGAAACTATGGTTGAGTCTCTCTATGTGTGGTGAGATTAAGGAGTTTTCGTCATGTCTTCTGACTGCTAGTTGGTATTCGTGGATACGCTCTGCTAGTCTTCTGCCTGTCTGTCCTAACAATAGCTGTTGCAGTCCTTACACTGTATGTTGTAGATGATACCTGGTTTTTTTTTCTTTTTGGGCTACTGGGTCTTTTGGTTTAGTTAAGATGTTTTGGAGGGCTTCAGTAGGTTTGTGTCCTATGGTGATGCTGTGTGGTTGTAATAGTCTGTTGGTTGTTTATGAGATGTTTCTGATGTATG